GAGAACCTTGTACGCCAAAAAATAGGGACGCAACTTTCAAGCTGTAGAGATAAGCGCCAGGGCGGCCTTCTCCACATCTGAATACCAGCACTCGGCGCCTTAGAGTATCCGACTAGCATAGTATATTGGCTTCTGTTGTCCCTGCTCATCCTTTATCAGCACCGAACTAATGGCTTCGTGTCCCACCGATAGATAAACGACTAATGTGTCGCCTGGCTCCGGTTTCGTAAGTAAAGGGAGCTCGGCCAGAAACTCTTTCAACCTCTCAAATGCATGTTGTGCTTGCGACGTCCACTCAAAACGAGATCCTTCCTTCAAAGCCCTAAAGAACGGAAAACTTTTTTCCGCGGATTGAGCTATGAACCTGCTAAACCCTGCTAGGCGTCCAGTGAGGATCTGCACCTCCTTCAAGTTCCTTGGTGTATGCATCTCCATGACCGCTCGTACCTTTTCTGGGTTGACTTCAATGCCCCTCTCCGTCACCAGGTAACCCAAAAATTTTCCCGACCTTAACCCGAACTTACACTTTGTCGGGTTGAGCTTCATGCCATATCGTCGCAAAGTATTGAAGGTCTCGCGCAAGTCTGCTACATGGTCATCCGCCTTCCTACTCTTCACCAGCATGTCATCAACATAGACCTCTATATTCCGACCTATTTGTCCTTTGAACATTTTATCTACCAACCGTTGATAAGTGGCTCTCGCATTTTTCAATCCGAAAGGCATGACGATGTAGCAATAAGTGCCCTTGGATGTCACAAAGCTAACCCTCTTCTGGTCCTCCTCGGCAAGAGGGATCTGGTGGTACCCTTGGGAGGCATCCATCATGCTCAACAACTCGCACCCGGCTGTAGAGTCGACGAGCTGGTCAATACGTGGTAGGGGTAATGGTCTTTAGGGCAAGCTTTATTGAGATCCCTGAAGTCTATGCACATCCTCCACTTTCCTTCTCCCTTTTTCACCATAACTAAGTTAGACAGCCACTCCGGGAATTGGATGGATCGTATATGCCCCGCCTTCAACAGCTTCTCCACCTCAGCTTCAATGACCATATCTAACTGAGCGCCAAAATGCCTCCTCTTCTGCTTCACCGACCTCATGGTTGGGTCGATGTTCAACCTATGCTCTGCCACCCCGGGAGTGATGCCGGTGAGGTCGTCGGCGGAAAAGGCAAACACATCCACAAACTCCCTCAACAATGCAATCAGCGCGTCTTGAATGTCGACCGCCAGATGCCGACCTACCTTGGTCGTCTTTTCAGGGCTCGCCTCTATCAATTCAACTTCCATCAGCTCGTCCTGGGAGCTCATCCCCAATTCTTGTCTCTTCTCCTGGTGGGAGCACTCAGGTAAGTCATCCCTCCTTCTCTTATTCTGCTTCTCGGCTGTCTTCAATGTAACCTCGTAGCACCGTCGAGACTGCAGCTGGTCTCCAGTCACCTCTCCGACCTCATTCCCTACGGGGAACTTAATTTTCATGCAATAAGTGGAAATAGCTGCCTGGAATGAGTTCAAGCTAGGCGGTCCAATATGATGTTGTAGGCCGAGCTAGCATCCACGACCAAGACGGACCATCTTCACCTTCCTCAGAGGCGACCTTCCCAACGCCACAGTTAAGCTAACTTCGCCAGCGGGGCAAACCTCGCTGCCGCTGAAGCCATAGAGAGCAGTGTGGACCGGCTCGACCTTCACGTCCAACTCCATCTGTTGCAAACACTTTAGGAAAATAATGTCCGCCGAGCTTCCTGTAGCTATAAGCACCTTCTGCACATCATAACTTGCCACCTCTGCGATGATAACCAAGGCATCGTTATGTGGGACAACAAGTCCCTGCACATCATCAGCTCCAAACAGTAGAGTAGCAGAGCTCTTGTGCACCTGAACCTCGGCCACTTCGTTAGCAGCTCCCTTTCCTCGGTAAGTCCTCTTTTTCTCCCTATGCGAATCTCCATCTGTAGGAACCCTCACGATCACATGTATGACGCATTTCTTAGTTGGCCTGTCATGTTGCTCATCAGTCCTCCTCCGTTTGTCACCCGACTCACGTCCATCGCGGCGATCTTCATGACGGTCCTTATCCTTGATCACGAAATCTTTTAAGTGGCCTACCCTAATGAGCCGTTCAATTCATCATTCAACTCTCGACAGAAATTGGTGGAGTGACCATAATCGCGGTGGTACCGATAGTATCTATCCTTTCCGGCTAAAAACTTTCGCGGCGAGGGCAGAGGTTTGGGTTGCGCGAGAAATTTATCCTCTCCCCGCTTTTCCATCATCTCCAGGATCTCCTGCTATGGTGCATTAAGTGGTTTGTAATTTTCTTACCTCAGACCCCTGAACCGCTCCTTAACCTTGGACTCCTAAGCAGCAGTTCGACGATCAGTTTGCCGAGGCTTCTCATCTACCTGCTTGGCCTTTGTTTTGTCATTCTGAATGAAATCCGCTTCAGCCTCCTCCATATTCACATACTTGCTACACCTCTCGGGGAGCTCGTCAAAGGACCTCGCATGCCTCTTCGCCAGTGAATCCCTGCATTTACCGGGCCTTAACCCCCGCGTGAGACCCTCAGCTTTTATCTCCTCCGTAGCAGAAGGTACCTCCACACAATCCTTAGTGTACCTTGAAATGTACTGTCGCAAACTCTCCCCCTCCTTCTGCTGCATATTAATTAGTGAGAGATACGCCTTCTCATGCTTCCTAGCACTCGCGAACTGGTTTAAGAACAGAGAACTGAACCTCTCAAAGCTGTCAATAGAACCAGGTGGCAACTGGTGGAACCAGTCTTGTGCTAAGCCCTTCAAAGTAGTTAAGAAAGCCCGACAACTAACCGCATCGCTATATCGGTGCAGGACCACTATGTTATCGAACAACCTTAGGTGTCTAGCAGGATCTGTAGACCCATCATATGATAGGCTTAGTTCTCTAAAGTTATTCGGCAAGTCTCCGTCTCGTACCTCTTCCGAAAAAGGATGACCATGCGACCAGGCAACCCTTTTCCCTTGGACTCGGGCTTGCATCTCGCGCATTTGTTCTGCTAGTTTCTCCATAGTCAACCCCTTCTGCTGTGCTACCAAGGGTCGAGATGTCGCCTACCTATCGCCATCCTCATCTCTCCTTTCGCGTTGGTGCGTCTGGTAAGGGTGCAAGGACAACTGCTGATGCACAGGCCGCCTTAGCAATTCATGAGCTCGCCTATCAACCTCTTGAGCCTGCCCTATCGCATCTGCTATGATCCTATCCAGTTCCGCCCTAGTCATATATATCGTTTGATCTTCTCTTGCCGTCGAGGGGTTGCTTGGGAGGTTGGTTTCTCCTGCTAAGATCATCTGTTGATTGTTTGGCTGGTTGGTCCCTCTTGCTAAGACCATCTGCTGATTGTTCAGAAGAGTCACCTGGCCCGTGTTCCCATCAGGGACCCGGCTGACCTGATCAGTTTCTTCACTCGTTGCACCGCCGAGCTCCTTCTCTTTGTTTGTCAGGACACCCGATTCTCCTGGGTTCACCAAGTGCCCTTGAGCTTCTGGTGGCGGTGTCGGGGTCACACATGGGCCAGCAATGTCTCCTTGGGGTTGGTAGGCAACGGCGACCACCCGGGCGGCGGCCCTGTTCCAAGAGCCCTCTGAGTCCACGCCTCATCCATATCCTTCGTCAAGTTCTTCTTCGAGTTATCTCCTGCCATGATCCCCGTCGCTCTTCCTCTTCTTTTGGTGAAAAAAAACAGCCTCTAATATTCTGGTAGATGGCTGTGGTTCCCCACAGACGGCGCCAATTTGTTATACCAATACCTGAACCGCTCGACTGCCCCTCTCGAATCGGATTGAGCTTCCTTGATCGTCGGTACTTGCAAAACACGCCGGGGGGCGTGGACACTCCAACGCTCAAGTCAGTGGTGGTGTTTCGGAGAGAAAACGACAAAGTAATAAGGTAATGTGCGTATATGTCTTATGTAAAACGAATGAACATGTGTCCTTTTATAGGTAAAGTTGAAGACTCCTTATGGAACAAGAAATCTTCCCGGTATGTAACTCTTGATTAGGTAAAGAGATCCGAATCTTGAGAGTCCTTGAGGTTGTGAACCTCATCATGTCTTGATCACAGAGCCACCTCCAAGCTCTGGTTCCCCTGACAGAACCCCATGGCCGAGCTACCTAGGTGTCGAGGTGCCCTGCTGCCTAGGCGCCCAGCTGCTGAGATGCCTAGCTGCCTAGGCGATCACATCCGCCTAGCTCATCACTCTTAGCATTCCGCCTAGCTCACGCTGAACTAGTCTTCGCCTAGCTGGTTGGACCACGCCAAGATGATTGGACTACGCCTAGCTAGTTTTCGCCTAACTGTGGCTAAGTTCGGCCTATCATCAGTCCTCCATGAACCGCTATTAATGACCGTATCAGGGTAAATATTATTGGAGTCTCGAATATAATTCGGGGATGATAAGAGAGTGCAATGATGTTTTGTTAGTGGACTGAAATATTATTTAAGTTATTGAGCAGAGTGAGCTTGACCCACAGTTAGGCTTAATAACTTACGAAGCCCACATCATCACCTCTTTAGGGTCCCCGCTATATTTCTATAAATATACCATTAAGCTCTTGAGTCTGGGACACACCAACCGCACGCCTCACGCATAATCGGCCGACGACCGTAGACCCGAGCATAATCATTACGTTTAACTATTTAAGTACAAATTTAAAATATCATTCAATTCTCTACTCAATCAACTTTATTCAAAATAATTTATTTTAACAAATAAAAAAGAAAAAAGCAATCAAAACCGGTTTTATGTATATCTAAGCGCCCCTACTCATATCCGCTCTGAATTTGTTCACTCGCATTAATGCTTCATGCTTGAGCTGATGATGCAACTTTTTGTCAGCTTTCCCAAGTATAAATAACTAGGCACTTCGAGTTTCAATTTTATATTTTGGCACACATCATTGCCCTAGTACACAGAATATACAAGAGGTGTTGACGAATAATAATATATATATTGCATACGTATATATGGACTGCAAAGAAGTGAGACCAAAATTCAAGAAGGGGTTCTGGAAGCCAGAAGAGGACATGATACTAAAGAAATATGTTGAGACTCATGGAGAAGGCAATTGGACTCTTGTCTCCAAGAAATCCGGTAATTAAATTTCTCTCTTTTCTTGATCAATTGTCCTAGTATATATATTGGGAACTATTGAGATTTTTTTTTTTTTTTGGTAAGGTTTGCTAAGGGGTGCCAAGAGCTGCAGGTTGAGATGGAAGAACTACCTAAGACCCAACATCAAACGTGGCACCATGTCTGAAGATGAAAAAGACCTTATTATTAGGCTGCATAAGCTTCTGGGCAACCGGTAATTGGTACACTAGCTTGTTCAATCCTGAAGTTTTTTGTTATAATTTACATTGAAACTGAAAAGCCGAAACCATTAAACTTGTGTACGGTTTACAGAAATGTCGTTAGGTGGTCTGGTATAACCGTTAAATAGTTATAAATTATTAACAAAAAAAGTCATATAGTAAATTGTCATACTTTTATTTACTAGTAAAGTGCACGTGCGATGCACGTGGCGACGAATGTTTTTTACCGATTAAATTTAGTAAGATAAATTAATTAATTTATTACACATATGAATGCAGGTCATGCATTTTATTTTAAATAAAAAAATGTTGTTGTAATATAAAAAGATTTTAATATCATATTACAACTCCAACAAAAATATATGAAAAATGAGTTCCTAATGAAAAAACAATAAATGACTAAATAAAGACATAGTGTATATTATAGATGCATGAGTTCTTTTATTTATTTATGTTAGATTCAAGAGTCGTTTTCTTTTATTTTGGTTTCGATGTTCTCTCATACTTGTTGAAATGTAATACATCAATAGTATTGCAAAATTTTTCTTAATTAATTTGGCAAAACGTCAGTTTTATTCAACACTTAGAAATACTTTAGCCAAACATATAGTCAAACTTTATAATTGTATGATCATTGTAAGGTATTTCTACTAATAGTTCATAAGTATCTCTGTGAAATACACAATTGTAGCATTAAATTTCTTGATATTTGTGTCATTAAAATTCTTGATATTTCTTTTAATCACTGTATAAACTACATCTCTCTTTCTCTCTCTCTCTCTCTCCAGACAAATTGGTACTTACCCCATGAGGTGGGAACAAATTTCATCTCTAAATAAAATTTGATTTTCTAAAATCATTTACTTCTCTGAAGATGCTAAATTATTTTTTTAAAATCATCACACATTACATGAAAATATGTACTCTAAAACCATTGCGTGTATGATCGAGCACAATACACAGTATGATTGTAAATATTCTTATCAAAAAGTGACAACTTATTCAACATTCAAAAATATTTTGATCAGAATCAAACATTCCATTTTCAGTGTTATAAATTCGGAAGATAGATACCTTACATATTCTTTCGGATTTGCAATATTTATGTGTCTAATAACATTTATTGCATTCATTGTCCAATCTTTTGTATCATAACTAATGCTTAAAAAATTCAAGATAAAGATTCTTTATTGATTCTTCAATAATAACAAAACAGAACAACAATATTGAGAAGTATTTGTCAAAATATTTTAGATAAGAAGAATTTGAATTATACTATATTATGATACTCTTAGTCATCTGTTAACTTTATTATTATGAAGTCATTATTAAAGTTTGTGGTCTATCTTATGATAATATTGAATCATTATTTATGAGAACAAATTTCTTATAGAGAACATATACTTAAACGCTAGCAACAAAAAAAGTAGTAATTTTAAAAGATTTTTGTTTCTTGATATTAGTATTCATACTTTTCTAAAAAAAATCAGAATTCTTCTTTTCCTTATTGCATTACTATTGGTTTACTTGTTTTTTTTTCATAAATAATATTTTATTTGTTAAAATATTTAGAGAACATTTATATGCAATGCGTTCTTTTTACGTGTTTGATAGTAATAATATACTTGATAAAAATATAGTTTTATATTGTTTATAATATTAAAAAGATATGAATTTATTTCCATGTTCTGATAAAATATGAAGTAACTAATTCATGCTTATATTCACAAAAAATACATTTTACAACTATTATGCTGTTTCCTTTCAATCAATAATTGAATAATAGTTTAGCATACAACCGATTTATTTTTTTCTTTTAATTCACATATTTAATATTGGTAATAGTTGTACAATTACATGCAGTTGACTTTTTTCTTAGTATGAATATTTCAAATCTATATCAGAAAAATATACCACAAGTTTATTTAATGTTATTTTATAATTAATAATATTATTTTAACATGGATCTATAATTATTTTATAAGATTCTTTTAGGTCTATTTATTATTTTAAATTGGTATTGATATATATATATATATATATATATTATTTTACATCGATATTGGTAAAATCAAATAACATGGGAAAAGAAATGATATGATATATTACATATAAAAGGGTTACCAAAAAAAATTAAGTATTTCAAAATTAAGAAATTCAATGGTAAAAATTAACTAATTTTTTAACTAAAAAATTATGACTAACATACCGATTTCTAAGACAAAAAAATAAATATATTTTTTTTATAAATGTGCATCTCAAGTATATTTTACATTTATCATTTGCTAGCTCCAATTGGTATATGACATTTATTAATTTTATCATTTTTTTTTTTACTTTTGAGTGGAATGTCAGTTATAAGCTTTCTCGTTATGTAGTTTTACCTTTTTATTACGCAAAACATCATTTTTACATCTTGTCTAGTATTAATATTACATTTTCAATAGAACATCATTCTGAACTCTTCTTTAGTTATTATAATACTAATAAAATATTTAAGGACTTTTCAACTTATATGTACTTTTTTAATTACTAATTATCATAAATTAAATGATAATTACATTAAATATGTTATATTTTGTATCATTATCAACAATTTTCAAAACAATTAACTGCACACAATATTATATATAGTGCAAATTTTTAGTTTGATTCGGAGTCATACTTTTACTACAAGAAAATGATGAAATTCCAATGAAAACATATTACAGCGAAATTTCAACAACAATTCTAACGAATATTTCAACGTGACAATTTTCGTTTGAATTTTTCAATGAAATGATAACAAAAATATTTTGTTGCAATCATGTGCAGATCCATTGTTGTCCAATAGTCCCGAAACTGGCATCATCTCAAAACATAGCATAAGATATCTAACAAACATAATGGGAACATTTTTCATAATTTTAATCATGTCCTCTATTTAAAAAATAAAATTAAAAGAATAAAGACAAATAATGATTAATTTACAACTCAACCAATCATAATTTAATTCAACTCATAACGTTATTAAAATTATAACATCAATGCGGTATCTCAACTAAAGAAAATATGATATCAAAGTTTACAATTTTACGCTCTATTTCTCTCTTTTCTTTTTATTCTTGATGATATCTTATTATCTCTCTTTTGCGACATAATTTTTATCTAATTTTAGAAAATATATTTTCAGTCTTTTTTATGTATGTAGAATTCTAGTTATATATTCGTAATTTATACATTCATCTATTATATTGTCGAGTCAACTATACTACAACATAAAATTTTTGTTCATAAAAAGATTTTAAAAAATATATTATTTTTTTATGATTTTCTTATGTTGAATTGAGAAAAAATATGTTTTTTTTTTTCTAATATTATTGAACTTATTGTGATTGTATTTATGTGTTAAGAAAAGTAATACATATGAGAAAGTTGACAAATTATGAAAAGTATACTTTATAAATTGTAATGTAAATTCACCATTGGAATAGGCAGTGAATCTTTTCAATAGAAGTTATACCAATAAAATATCTGTTGGTATTTTTTGTGGAATACCTTACTGTCGAATTTTTCATTATAATATGGGATTTTTGTATTCTCATAATCATTAAAATTTTTATGTAGTAATTTTTTATTTATTAATTGTGTTTATAATTTTTATTTTAAAATATATTAAAACATCTACTTTTTAGTCCATGTAATTTTCTTACAAGTCACTCGTTATTTTATGTTGAGATTACCTATTAATTTCTCAATTGAATTACTTTCCCTCCATATTAATGGAAATAAGTATTATTTTATATGCAATATAATATTTATATATTATATTAAAAAAGTCATAACAAATAAAAAATTATTTAAATTTACAATAATCAATTTATTTTTAAAAAAATTAAAAGCTCTAACCTACATAGATTAAAGTACAAATAACTATTGTCAATAACCTAAAACTTATACCTATAATTAATAAGCACAAAAAAAGTAACAATCGTTTAACAATTAAGCTCGTTTACATCGATATGTACAAGTTTTAAAAGTGTTATATTTATATTTATTAATTATAACATTTTTAGTTATTACTTTTTTTCATATGTAATAGTAAGTATTACAACATAATTATATTTTTAATATTATGTATCAGATTTAATATTTTCTTACTTAATATTGTTCTTAACTTTTAAATTTGTTAAAAAAAATGCATAATACTAAGTATATAACTTTTTTTGGTCATATGTCTTATTATATCTATTATAGTTGTACATCTTTATATTATATTATGTATAATTAAAATTTTTTAATTAATATTATTATCAAATATTAAAAAAAGATATTCTGTACATTTTTTAATAAAGTTGATTTATTGTAATAATACATATTAATAGATAGGTGCGTAATGGTACTATATCGATATAAATTCTTGGTAAAAATAATTAATTTTCAACGTATATAGGCATATCATGATTCACTATATATTTTTAATTAATTTGAAGATAATGATGGATAAAAGTACAAATAACTATTGTCTATCACCTAAAACTTATATATGAATTAATTTTATTACTTATAGTTATTAATAATAGATGAGTAATGGTGAGATATGATATAATTATTGGCTAAAATTAATTATTTTTCAGCGTATAGGGATATCACGATTTTTTAGATATCTTAATGAATTCTTAGAAAATTGTATGTTCAAAATAAAATCATGTTGCTCAACTAATATCCCATTCGACATGAAAAAAATTGGATCGGGTTTTAGTATATATAATTTCATAAAATTATTCTAATCTTATTTTACGTAAAGAAATTGAGTAGATTAGAAGTTTAGGTTGCAAAATAATTATTCAAAAAATTATCTCTCATATTATTACGTAATTTTTTTATATGTTATTTTGAAAAAAAAAATATTTATATAGTTTTTGGTCGTTATGAGGATAAACAACATCGATTTTAAATATTTTACTTATAGTTATTAATAAACTTGTAAAATTAAATGAATATTGTTGAAACAGTTCTCTTATTTGATAGGATACTTACGGTTAAATAAACTCTTAAATTTTATTGAGAAAATCATAAAAGTATTTAAGAATCTTGAATAATATCAATAAATAAAATATTTTATTTATAAAATTTTGAATTATAAGCGTTTATAGAGCGGTCAACTTGATAATTAATTGCTCAAATGAAATAAGAATAATAATAATTAAAATGTCATGAACATTTTAATTAATAATTGAATGAAAAATTTCAAATATTTTAAGTCTTAATAATTAAAAAATTACGCAACTTGATTTTAATCACCTAATGATCACGTGAAGATCCGTTAATTCTATTAGTTTTTGCGACCAAAATTTGAAAATACAAACCACTAAACAATGACGATTTTTGTGGGATCAAAATTCAATCCAATAAAACTAAGGTGCAATCTAATTTTAATTCTAAATACAAGAGTTTATTTTTCTTAAATAATAACCTAGTTAAATGAATTCTTCCATTTTTCTAGTTTGTTAGATTATTTATATATTTCTCGTGTGCATGATTTCAGTAATATTTTAGGTATCTTCTCTTAATTAAAGTTATGTATGTATCTCAAAAATTATTTATTATATAAAATTTACCCCTCAACTAAGTTATCATGTTTTACCAAGATTTATCGTTTTGTTAAAAGATAGGTAAAAAAATAGTTGATAATATTTAGATCTTTTATAAGTATTTATTATGTTGTTTTTGTTGCATAATTTTTTGTTTAAATAAATTTTATATATTAAAATCATTAAATATGATTACGATTTTATCATCAAAATTATATTAAAAATAAGGACGTTATTCAAAACAAAAATTCAATATCATTTCAAAACTTTGGTGTTTGGGTTACTGTTGAGTTGATTTTCTAGAGACATGGAAGAAAATAGTTTGGGAGATATGTGAAATAAACCAAATTCTTGAAGAATAATGGTGTGAATATTGTGGTTAATTTTTAAGAGATGTGGAATGTTTTGTTCATTTAATTGTATTAAATGAATAAAATATTAAATGAGTATTAGTGTATTACTAATTTGACATTAAAAATATGTCAAATAAGGTTTTTAGGTAAATCTTAGTTATTAATAAAAAAAAATATAAGATGAGATATATATTATGTTATTACTAATTTGCTATTTAAAATATACCAAAGTAAGGGTATAGTAGTTAGTTCTTTCTTTTACAAAAACACTCGTCCTTTTATAGTAGTATTCTGAGTTACCATTTTAGTTAGCACAACATTTAGACATAAAATATAATAAAACATTTGGACTAAATATTACATAAGATTATTTTGTAGATATTGTCAACAAGTACCAATTTGTTTTGGTGGACTTCTGTGGAAGAGTTATTTTCTTTTCCAACAACTACTTAGCTAAGAGATCATAACAATTTCTTCAAAGACCACCTCAATCTCCATCATTTTTAGTAAAATTTAGAATTATTTGAGTCATACTTTGGGTGTGGATCATAATAGTATTCAATTTTACGTTGTTATTTATTTAATTAAATATTAGTGATTAACTAAAATATATAAGATTTGAAGAGTATTAATGTATTACTAATTTGTCATTAAAATTAAGTCAAAGTAAGAGTTTTTTAGGTAGTTTATTTGTTAATTAAAAATATAAAATAAGATGAGTATTACTGTATTATTAATTTGCTATTAAAAATATGTCAAAGTAAGAATTTTTTAGGCAGATCATCATTTGTTAATTAAAAATATAAAATAAGACGGATACTATTGTATTACTAATTTGCCATTAAATATATGTTAAAGTAAGGGTTTTTTAGACAGATCATTAATTTTACAAAATCACTCGTCCTTTTATAATAGTATAGATGTTGTTTCTAAAAACGTAATTTTGTGAGTGAAGAAGTATGTATATATATTAAAGAACTATGGCGGCCCAATTGAGAAAATGAATTCTATTACACAAATATTCTCTATATAAAATGATATTATTGAAAACAATTTTTCATGCAGTTGGTCGCTGATTGCTGGTAGGCTCCCAGGGCGCACTGACAATGAAGTGAAGAACTATTGGAATACCCATTTGAACAAAAAATCACCCCAAATCACTCACGAACATCTTTATTCTGAGTTATCGAGCTCTCAGTACTGCTTGGAACAAGAAAAAATTGACCGAGTAATAGTAAAGGAAGGTGAGAATACGGATGCTCACATATTAGACCTAAAAAATGCCAACTATAATAATCAAGACGTGACGTTTGAACCGATGTTCTTTCCCAACTCTCCTCATGACTTGTTGCTCCATGATTTCGACGTGTTCTTCGAACCATTTGAAGTTAGCAGCTTGGTTTATTTGCAGTAATAAAATCAACCCGTCTTGGAGTTATTGGAAAAGCTTTTCAGTTGGCTAGCTTTTTCACGCTTCAGATAGTAGTAGCTGGTCATGATTCATTCTACTTTGTCAATTGTCTGAATAAGCAATGAGTAATTCATTCAAATGGAATGTGTCCTTCTATTAAAATCAAACATGGGTAATTCATTTAAATGAGAAGGCAATAGGTCCCACTGTTTGCATTCGAATGATTAAATGACATTTGATGCTACAACAAACTAGTACAGTAGCCAGTGCATCTGACGGCACAATAATGATAAAGAGTATAATTTAAAACAATGAAAGAATGTAGATTAGTATAAAAATAATTTTGAATATTAATATTAGTGTTTACCGTTTTTATTTTTACTTATATGATATATGATAGTTTCATATATAATTTATATGTTTTATTTTATTCGTTGTAAAAAAATTATCATTTTAGAGTTTTTGTTTAAAATTAATAAACACAAAAATCTAATATATTAAAAATAAGTAATTAATAATACTAACAAAAATATTTATTTATCTCTTCTCCTACTCGTACCTTATTAGAATATATTATTTCTATTCCTATATAACAAAAGGTAAAAATTAAAAAAATCATGGAAAATATTATAAACCAACACTTAATCTAAAAAAATGTAGCATATATTATTTTATTGTTATAAAATTTACTAATTTTTATTTAGATCAAAATTAATTTAATGTTTATAATTTATAATAGTGTATACTATAAATATTTTTATTTTTTATTCAATAGTTTATATGAAAGTTCAACACTTATTATTTTTATGATTTATAGAAGTATACATTATATTTTTTTCTAATCAAATAATTCACATTGTTATTCGACAAATGAATTGTTGGTTTATCATTATAATTTACTAGTGTATACCCGTGCGATGCACGGGAACAATATTAAATTAACAATATTATAAATAGATCTCGAGTTTGAGTCACTGACGGAATTGGAAACTACTATTGATCCTATTTAAAAAGAGAAAGAAAAAAAAAATAATTATAAAGTAAAAAGGAGGATAAACAATACTTAATAATTATAAATTAAAGATTCGGGGTCAAACAATGTAAAACTATTTTGTATAAGAAAATATGAAATTTACATTATTTTGTATAAGAGAATATAAAATTTGCATGTTTAATATTAAAAACACCTAAAATATTATATTAGTATATATGTAAAAGTATTCAAAATTTTCTATATTATTTTTGAAAGATGTGATATGCGTATGTTCTGTATAGTTTTTTTAGAGATAATAATTCAAACATGTGTATTTGTTTTAGGAAATGAATAACAAACTTAATATCAGTTTTGAATAATGATAAGGTGTATGAAATATCTTCTCCTTATAATAAGATTTTGTTTTTGAATCTTAAAATTATCCCTTATATCTTCTCTTTATAATACGATTTTTTTTCTTCAATTTATTGTTAAAAAAATATATTTAAAAGGGTTACCATAAAAAAAATCTGTGATAAGGATGCTCGTGTGAAATTGGATTATTTCCTTACCATACAAAATTATGCGATAAGGACGCTATTAATGAGGCGTGCGCTAATGTGAAAAGGACATAAATGTTGACCGTGTGAAATGGACATGTTACCGATTTTGGAAAGTAATAAATGCAAAACTGACTTTGACCATTAATTAAGTTACTAATTTTGATAAATGTTAATTCTTATTATATAAGTATAGATAATAATATAGTTATAAATATCTTTTTTTTTTTTGTTTCTATGTTAATAAATTATATGAATAGTTCAATAGATGATCTGTTGGTTTGTCATCATTATTTGTACCAATGTATATATAGATATTTTGGTTTTTCATTCTAGACTTATAATTTTCATTGCATTTCGATGGATAACTCATTGGTGTGTCATTATTTATAATAATATATATTAAAATATTTTTATTCTTTAAAATTTATAAATTTACATGACATTTCGACAAATGAACCATTGTTTATCATTTTAATATCGTTATACTTTATCCTCAAAATTCTTGTTTACTTAAATTTTTAATTTTTTTAGTAATAATTTTGTAAATCCATGAGGGATAAACATACCAATTACTATTTTAGATTGTTTTATACTAGATACACTTTATCATACATACATCTATATTTTATTTTATGGATAAGTTGGGACTATTATCTGATTTTTAAATAAGTAATAAATAATAAAATTAATTCATTGTATATATACAATATTAACTAATAAACTTATTAAGACACTAAAAATAATCATTTTATTTATATATACAATATGAATGTTAATGAAGATTGTAAACTAAAGGTTAACTGAAAATTATATATAAAAAATGGACAGAAAGTAAAAATGTTATAAATTATATAAAAAGAAAATGACATTAATAGTTAATAAGAAAAAAATGTAAACAAAAAAGCAGACAAAAAATATGAAAATAAAACAGGAAAAAAAAAATATAGTTAGAAAATTTTCTTATCTTGACGTTTCAAAAAATATATAAGTTTCTTATTTTTTTATTCTTTTTTGGATTTACAAATAATTATCAATGGAGGATAAATCTATAGCCATATCCGTTAATTTATATATTTCTAATCAAAGAAAATTTTAGATTAGGTAGAAATTAAATAATTGATTGTAAAATCTTAAAAAGTTTAATTTAAAAATGTTGATATCTGATATAGTCATATTATGATATACCGGTTCAAGTACCCCTTTATTCGACCAAGATAACGAGTCGAACCATCCACATGTCGACATCTCCATGTCGACACACTTAAGTCGACCTCCCGACGGTGGACAGCTCTGCATGTGCAATTTGAAGATGTCGGTTTACCGAAGTCGACGACCTCAAAGTCGACTTCCCAAAATCGGCTCTCAAAGTCGACTTCCACTAAGGAGATGAACAAGCGTAGCCTCCGAACAAGTTCATGAGAATCCAAGTCGACCTCCTGATGCTCGAGGTCGGCTCCTCACCCCTCGAAGAATCAGAGCATAATGACGACTTGAGACACTTGCATTGTCTCCTAACAGATCTCCTAAATAAAGGAGGATCTTGACCGGATAAGTAGGAATCTTGAGATGACTAAGCAGTGAAGGGAGACGAATCGACCAGGGTATTGTGGTCACTTCAGGTAAACCGACCGGGGCATTTTCGGTATTTCAAGTGAGTATTCCCTTCTATATAAAGGGGCTGAGGTAACCCTAAACCCTAACTTCCACTCTTTTCATACACTTCTCTTCTCTCAAGGTAGCTCTCTCTCTCTTTCATCCCTTTCATATACTGACTTGAGCGTCGGAGGGTCTACGTCGGAAACAGTTCTGGCATTGAGTTCTTGCAGGTGTTTACGGCGGTCTATCAACGATTTGGAGGCGGTTCAAACAGATCGGAGCTCATTACCACCGGTTTACTCTTGATCTGAGAGTAGACCCATCAATTCATATCACTAAAAAACTAGATAGAAATAAAATAATTGATTGACAAGTTGTAGAAATTTTAATCAATAGATTTATATCATTATTGATATCACATTACCTAAAATTACAATAAAAGTCTCACCATTTATGGCAAAGAAAAATTACGTAAAAGAAATAGAATAACCAATAAAAACAAAATGTTTATAAAAATTTTCTTATTTAGTAATAAAATTTTTTTGGCGGAATAATCAGATACTTTAAAGAAGTACAAGCATTTTTATGTATATGGATGGTGGTCTAGGTTTTTAATATATATTGGCATTTAAGGGGGGTGTGTTCATTTGGAATTTTCAGTGATATTTTGAGACTTTTTGAAATTTGAGACTTTTTAAAATTTTCATATTTATGAGGAGTCCTTTTATTTTTGAAGTGTGGAGGTGGGATTTAAAGCGGGATTTCGTATATATTTTCGTTTCTGTAAAAATCCCAGCAAATCTTAAAAAGTCTTAATAAATTTTATTCTCAAACAAGTTAAATACCTCCGGATTTTGTAAGAATTTTAAAAATCTCAATGAACACCTCACGACATTTAAAAGTTTTAAAAAGACAAAATTAAATACACCAGGATTTCTGAAATTTTAAAGTCTTTAGAAATCTCAAATGAATACACCCTTTAAACATGGGTATGTGCAAATGAAAGATGTTTAATAGAATGATGACGGTAATGTTGATGAAAAAGTCCGTGTAAATTATGTTTGAATATGCATGATATGCAGTAGATGCTGATAGAATCAGATTTGCACAGATTCATGTAGAATCAGAGAAGAAGATGAGAGAGCGTGGGAGAGAAAGAGAAAAAGGGAAGAGATTGTATTGCAGAAAAATGAAAAGTGTCTTAGGGTTTTGGACTATTTATATTAAGCCAAACTAGTCAACATAAAAGTGCTAAAGTAAAGACTAAAACGTGTTTTACACAATGAGAGCCTAAAATGCTATTTACTATTCTAATACCCCCTCAAGAGGAGCATGGATGTTTAACATGTTCATCTTGGATAAATTGTGACTGAAAGCTTGGACTCCAAGGGGTTTTGTGATAATGTCTGCAACTTGCTCTGAGGAAGGAACAAACTGCAGCTTAATTGTGCCTGTGGAGAGCTATTCTCTTACTAGATGACAATCTATTTCAATATGTTTTGTCTTTTCATGTTGAACAGGGTTGTTGGCCAATGCAATTGCAGATTTACTGTCTGGAATAGTCACAGGAAATGAATGAGAAATATGAAGATCATTAAGCAAATATGGCAACCATTGTGCCTCACATCATGTGGATGATCATTAAGCAAATATAGCAACCATTATATGCCGTGTGATAGGTCGTTGGTACACCAGTTTTGATCTATAAAATTTTACTTTCACCGATGGAAAAAATATTTTCAAACAATGCTAATTTGAACAAAAGTAATTCTATTTCTACTAAATTTAGAGATGCAATATTTGATTACTCGTACCCTGAAACATACAGCGCCCATCCCACAAAATATATTTTTGTGTATTTACTAAAATCAAATATCCAAAAAGCCTGTATCTGGCACTCAATTGTTGAGATCTGCAGTGCCTGGAAAACGAGGTGCTATGTTCACTAGCACACAATGACATCAGATATTACTCACATCACACATACACACACAGACATTTCACAAACTTTTCACACCTGAAAGCATTCAGATAAAAATATATAACAATCATTACCAACTAATATGCAAATCCAATGCAACTTACAATAATACAAAAAGTTCAGGAAAAGCAAACAGTACTTGTTATCTACAATGATGCAAAACTGCAGCATCACTTGCACTCTTGGACTGATGCATTTTGTTCTTGGACTGAGAAAATCGAGCATGGCAGGAAAGTATGGCGAGGTCATTGAGTTCCTGTAGAGGCACGAGAACTTTCACGACCTCATCCATCGAGGGCCGGGAATTAGCATCCCGACTGAGGCAACTGAGGGCCAACTGAGATATCTTTTGCACCCCTTTGATCGAGTAATGGAGCTCCAAGCGAGGGTCCACCAGCTGATAAACCTTGCGCTTGTCGGACAAATATGGGCGGGCCCACGTCACCAGATTCTGTTCTCGGTGAACCCTTTTCTTGTCCATCGACCTTCTCCCAGTTAGAATCTCCAAAAGTACAACGCCAAAGCTGTAGACATCGCTCTTGGAACTCAAGTGTCCTAAAAGAAAAAGGAATAATGAAAAATAAACTCTGTCTTAACTCTTGAAACTAAGGTTATGTTTGGTGGACAAATAAGCTAGCTTATTGTTTATTTAGTTAGCTTATAAGTTTCTTGTATTTTAAACAAGCTTTGTTTGGTAGGACGAGCTTTTTCAAAAAGCTCGAGCTTATTTCATAAGCTTCTTTGGGTGGCCTTTCTAATAAGCTCGTTGAAATTTTTATTTCAACGAGCTTATCATCTAATTTTTTACCAAACACTTTTATCAAATAAGTCAGCTTTTCAGCTATAAGCTCGAAAATTGTTGATAAACTAGAATCAGCTAGTTTTACCAAACATAGTCTAAGTATTATTAATATAATTTAAAGTACACATACCTGTCATTACATATTCAGGAGCAGCATAACCGTAAGTTCCCAAAACTCTAGTGGAAACGTGTGTTTTGTCTCCTTGTGGGCCCGCCTTCGCCAAACCGAAATCCGAAAGTTTGGCATTATACTCCTAAAACAGAAGTGAACGATATCATCAATAAAAATACAATATTTGACTGCACGGCAAGAGATCGATCCAATTTCTCATCATCTTTAATTACTCATACCGAATCAAGCAAAATGTTTGAAGTCTTGAAGTCTCGATAAATGACAGGTTCGGGCCCTCCGTGAAGGAAAGCCAAGCCCTTGGCTGCCCCAACTGCAATTTTCACCCTGTTGGACCACGCTAGAGGTATTGTCCCTTCAATAGTTTTGACAAACATTAATCAGTACTCATTTTTCACTATATAATTTATAATTCCAGTTGTACATTTGTGTTGATAATTAAACTCCATATAGATGCTTCATGAAAAAGGCTAGGATATTATATAATTCCAGTTGTACATTTGTGTTGATAATTATACTCCATATAGATGCTTCATGGAGAATGCAAGATATTATATAATTCCAGTTGTACATTTGTGTTGATAATTATACTCCATATAGATGCTTCATGGAGAATGCAAGATATAGAAGTGAACCCGGTGCTAGTAATTCAAATCACTAGACCATCTCTAAGTAGGAATCGAAGGCTCCGCAGGAGAACGACAGCAGAGCCGATACGCAGCGAAGAGGACACTTTGTACAGATAGTAAATATAAGATTTATGCTTTGATTTGCACCAGAGTATAGTCAGCTGGTCCTCTCTATTAATGAAGTTGATATATCCTTGAAATCAAACTTAATTGAGCAGAGAAGACAGAACTATCATATTAGTATACATTCTTCAGTATTGTCTGGTTAAATCTACATAGCTATCATATTACTGTACGTCCGTTAGTATTCCTCAGGTTAAATCCACATAGCCTGATATATACAATTTTCTTGTACTAGAAAAAAGGAAACACTATTACTTGTGTTTATACGGACTTACTCCTGAAAAGATGATTCTCAAGACTTCCTCGTGTCATGAACTCATAAACAAGTAATCTTTGATCATCTTCAATGCAATATCCGATCAGCCTAACCAGATTCGGATGATGAAGCTGTCCAAGAAGATCCACCTCTGCCTGCATTTTAGGAAATCATCCTTCATACATGTTTTTAACATCATTATGTCTTTTCATAACCAAGTTTATGTTGGTTGCTATACTAAAAGCTTCGCTTTAGTTTAAACCCAATTCAAATTTTGAATCAGGATCGAGATTAGTCAAAATTGTTTTGCATTTATATTTTCGAATAAGGAAATGCATACTTGTCCTTTTATAAACATTGAAGATAACATAGTGTGACGTCGTTGCACAGAAAATTATATTAACGATTCCTTGTACAATATAAATAAGGTTCGTAACCGAGATAGGAAGTGGACAAACCTATCGGCATGGTTATAGCATAATTTGAGTTAGTTTATCTTAACTAATAAATTATACTGGTACATTTTTTTGTATCGGACTGGACCACGGATGAGAAGTTTATTTTATACTGACCAAGTACATAACTAGACCTCATGATATCACTCGTACTCTAAACCCGCGTGATAATAACGGGCACATCATTCAATATTTATTTCTTTAATTAACCAAAGGGTGTGACTTATTTCGCCAAGTCAATACGCTCGGTGAGTTGAGGAATATTATTATTTACATGGTGTGCTGATGATTATATTCGGTCACTGTGTGTCCTAGTGCGCGCAAGGGTGATGCCGTCCCCGAAATAAGCTCAAGAAGATTATTATTGTTTAACCATCCAAGTGGATTAATTTCCGACATAATAATAAGGTTCAGTGGTACTCGTTTCTAAACACCAAGAAGTTAACTAATCAAACTGTCAGTAACTAAATTAATTAATGGACGTTTGATATCTTAAACAAAGAGAATGAAGAACTCACCACCCATTCTCTATGGCCTTGAAACCCATCAGGCTTCAAACTCTTCACGGCAACAGTGATTCCCAAGCCAGGCTTAGCTGGCGTTGTTCTATTCTCCTCAACCCATCCTTTGAAAACATATCCAAAACCACCCTCCCCAAGTATGCTGTCAGGCCTGAAATTGCCCGTGGCCGCCTTTAGCTCTTGGAAGCTGAATTGAAGCAGTTGGTGCAATGCTTTAGTGTCTCGGGCTTCGAACGAGCTCCGGGCTTCAACAGGAGCACACATCATCTCGCGATTGCTGGCATTCAAGTAACGAGTCTCGGTGGCTGCATTAACAGAGAATTGCTCAAATACTCTGCTTTCTCATTAATATCTTAACATTTGGAGACCAACAAGATTTTTTATAATTTTCTCCACATGAATATGATTTGCTAAATCCATCTCAAACACAAAAAGAACAAAAAGAACAGGGGAGAACCCTAACAGAACAAGCAACTCAGACACAAAACAAGCATGTCAGTTCATCTCTTTCAGATCAGCATCAAAATTTAATTTTGCACTAAAAATTATTATTATTATTATTAAAATAGATGAAAGAAATGAGTAAAATTAGTTAGTACCAGCATCATAAACAAGACTGCTTCTTGGGATGGTGGAGGCTGAGCTTCTGGAATGGGTTTTTTTACAGGCGGCGGCTCCTAAGTTGCACCTGATAATTGCCCAACATCCACACTCCTTTTCCATCTCTAAAATTCACAATCACCTGTTTGGATCTCTCACCCATGAATGCACATCTTTCACCGAAGTGAGCTGTGTAGTGAGAGTGAAGAAAAAGCAAAGAGACGAGAAAAAGGAGCATTATTTATTTATGACAAAGGAAAAGGGAATTGTTTGTTATAGTTGTTACTGTGTAAATTGAAGACACCATTATCATCATCGTCATCATCACCATCACGTTCGTTGTACAAAAAGAACTTTTTTCTCGGGCCTCTTTTCGGATGAGCCCCACCCGATATTACCGGTGTTTTTCTACTCCCAAATGTTTGCTATTTGCGCATATGCCGACATCAACATTAATCCCTTTTTCAAGTCTTTTTTGGCTCTCCCAACCAATGATAATGAAGGAATCAAAATAAGTTAATCTTTTTGCCTAACATGCCTTTCCTTCTTACTACACCCCATATAAGCTCTAAAATGCAAATGTTTCATTGTGCATATCAACTAATACGGAACCCATGAAATGTACTGAACAATTTTAAGGCTATTTGCTCAGTCTTATTATTATTTGTGTGAATATAAAATATTAAATAATCTGTAATAGAAAAATAAACATTACATATTATTAAACATTTTTTTGTACACAACATTTTTTGTTTGCCTTGTAGTCAAACCATCGTCTCCATAAACTAATATTTTCAAGCTATTTCGATTAGCAACGTGAGAAACAACTGAATATAACTAGTTGTGACTGAAAACCAACTTTTTCAAGAGCAGACCAAGATGTGATAAAGATCGACTCCGACTCTTTTTAATTATCATAACATGAGAAATAATACGGGAAAACTGTCTCGCTCAAACAAAGCTTCAAAAATCAAAACGAAAAGGGGGAAGTCACCTTTGAACTTAACCATATTTGTCATATCATAAATTACAATTGGACAATTGTGAGACGAAATGAGGCATCGTTCCACTCAACTTAGTATTTTTGAATGCATAGACTTGGTCTTCTCGAATGTTAATCCATTTTTTCATGTTGGCTGCTCGTATCAGTACGGTGATACAACCTCCCTATATAAACATGTCAAAATAATATAACTAACATTACATATTTATTTAAATAACAACACGTATAAAATTGAAAAAAAAAAATTGCAACTCACCTCCTCATCATGAAATAATATTTCCAAGAAGTTCCTATATTCAGCCTCAAATTTGCGTTCAATGATTCTAATTGCATGGAGCTTCATGTATGGTTTATTAGTTCGAGAGATGTCCTTAATGAGATCAAATTAGCACTTCATTTTGAATATATGAGAAAATTGAAATAGGATGCATGAATGAGAACATACAACTTGATTTAGCGCTCAATTTATAGAGGATGACAAATGAATCCTTAAATATTTTTTCATAGGAAAAATTGATACAAATAATTTTTTTAGCTAATGCAACTCGATCATAAAAGATCATTCAACAATTATTTTGTCTAATGCTCATCGATTCCCTTAGAAAAAATTGATTTCCTCCGATTTAAATATGATAATTTGTTTATATCACATCGAAAAATTTTTTATATTCGGCAATGTATAATTTTTTCTCATACAGAATGTTGGGATGTTAGTTGTATGACAATAATATATTCTTACATAACGCAAATAAAACAAATCTACACTTTTTTTGACCCGATTTTACTTGACTAAAAAGTAACGCGATATTTTTTGGTGTAAATGGAAATAATTTTTTAACTAATTCTTAGCAACATGCTGTAAAACTACTACTATGATTGTGTTATATGTAATTCTATCTTATTATTGTAAAGCTTATTATTGAAATGATTTATAGCATAAAAGGAATTGGAATTAATCACGAATTGATTTTATGTAAATTATATAAAAGTCGACCCTTTATACCGAAATCGGATTTATGGTGTGAGTCATTTCGCAAAATAGCTATGGTATGAATCGTCCATATCATAAAATTGCCCACTTTATAACATAATTGGATTTATTAATAATAATACATTCCTTACGAAAAATAAAAATGACCATCACATACCTTAAATAAAATTGCCCGTCTTATACCATAAAATCATTCACTTTATACCAAAATCGAATTTATTAGTTTTGAAATTTTATATCATATATTGACCTATATCTATATAGTAAATAGGTTTTTCACATATTACATAAGTATACCAAATTATTGTCTTATAACTATTGTCGATTTCACATATTACGTGTATAACCAGAGGTTCAATAAAATTGTAGATTGTCACATGCTTCAGTTATCATACTTTAGGAACATGATATGCATTTCATGTCAGTGATTAGAGATGTCAAAACAGGCCTGAGAACGCGGGTTAGCCCGCTCTACCTCACAAAAGGGACGGGTTGGACTTGTTTTTTTTAGGCCCGCCAGGAAATGGGCCTAAACAGGCCAGCCGGCGCGGGCCGCGGGCTGAGGTGAGGCGGGCTACCTCACGGGCCGGCCCACCTAATTAAAAAAAAAAATATTATGTTTATGTATGTATATAAATTATGGCCAAGATCAAATAGGGATCCACCAAAATCTCTAAACTAATTTGCACTAGAGGTAACCATTTATGAGTTAATGTATTTTTTATTTTTATTTTTTGCTATTGAAAAAATAAAAATAATAAACTAATCAACAACTAAGGTACAAAAAGAACAACCGAATTTCTATCAAGCCACTAAACTTAATTCCATAAACAAAAATTTTGTTGTAACGTATCTTAATTCTCGGGTCAACCTTTCCCCTCTCTTTTGAAATTGATGCAACCGCCGCTGTTTTACCATTGGGGATCGACACCCTAATTATTGTGTATATTTTCTGAATTCTTATAGGTAAATTCCTTCTCCGGATTTAGGAAAGACTTACGAAGGCAACAACAATGGCGAGTAGCTGAACTGATTTTGTTGTTGAAGGGATTGAAATGGATTTTTTTAATAATTAAAGCAGGATTTAAAAAAAAATAACATGCAGGCCTGGCCCGCCTAACCCGCAGCCCATGGCAATGTGGGTTGGGCCTGCTTTTATCAGGCCCGCCACACCCCGCTAATAAGCAGGCTTTAACGGGTTACGGGTCGGCCCGGCCCATCGACCCGTTTTGACAGCTCTATCACAGATAAGAATAAGGATATAAACAATTCAAACAATATAACTCAATCTGACATTTCAAAATTTCAAAATTTATAAGAATCACCACCTATTCCTTAATCTTCATATGCTTAGAGAATAATTTGCGCATTCTTTTGTTAAAGACCACAATTCCCTGCTCATAATAACTTTGCAGCATGGAATTATTTTGTTAAAGACCATAATTTTCTGTATGATCTGTATTTGGTTAATTAACAACACAAAAGAAATGTCATCTACAAATACAATCATATAAGCATAAACATTATTACATTCTTAAATAGTGTCAGAAGACAAATCTCCATAATCTATCTATATTTGCAAACTCAGAAACTACTTCACACACATAATTTTTTTAATGAATTTAGAATTCTTGTTACATTGACAAACAAAAGGAGAGTTGAAAACAGATAAAAGCATCCACTTGAGAAGTTTCAATGACCTTAACGCTGAATTTTCCCTCTTCTAGATGTTTTCTGCACAAACACAATGCAAATTTTTACTGACAATGAGAATCGAAAAGCATTTCCAAAATGTTAAATGGACCACTACATATTATTACTATAATGTACTGTCAAGTATTCAAATAAAATGTATATCTAAATCTCAAATTCTTGCATGATTTCATTCCATCAAATACACGGACATCTACTCACAGATTTTTTAGAATTGATGCACCACGAATTTTCACCAGTTTAAAGATAGACGGTTTTAGATATGTAAGCATCAGACGCAAAAGTTCCATATTGCTTTCTCTTAATTCCTCTTAAGCTGTACACTACCCTAAGGAGACACCATTAAATATTTAAAAAGTTTACAGGATTAAAGAATCAAGCATGATCATTGAGTTACTCTACCTCAGGATAGCATAACCATCAACAAAGTAACACACAACATTAAATCAAATTAAACAAAATAAATAACACCCAAATGGACGACTTACATTGAGCTTATACGTTCTGGGCTTTAAATCAAATTATGCGGATGGGTACGACAAAGTATTGCAGATGGCTGTGGAAAAATGAGCGGCGACTGGTGGTGTTCACTCCTGACGCACCCTTTCTTCATTTGCAGCAACACACGGGTCCCGGGGCAGTACACGTCCACTGACCGCGAGTTTCCAATTGTAAAGCTCAACCATCCGCGCATCACGTACACCCGTCCCTCAAACCCACATGCGAAGCAGTCCCAACTCGACCTGCGAAGGCCCTCGAGTCACCTTTTTTGTGCTGAAACTCTACAGACAATTTATGCCTAAACCCATCTTCTCCTACTCTGTCGTCGCCACGAACCCGTCATCCCCGTCAGCCAGTGGCAGCGCCACCCCGATCTCCTCCACCATGAACACCATGTTCATCCTCTGCTCCGTGGATATCAGCCACCCAATCATCGACATCCTCCACGTCACAGTCTCCAGTCACGGCCAGCGAGCCGGCCGTTGGCCCGTTCGCCCTCGTGCATGCAGCCGTCAGGATACAGGTACTTTCCTTGGTCGTGCGGGCGGTCACAGGCCCAATGGCTCGTGTATAGAGACTCGTCCTAGAACGACTACTCTGCATCATGGGTCTCGTCGGCAGCTTTCGTGTGGGCCACGGGCATTACTGCGAATGTGCCGTTGGCCCTTCTCCTTCAACACAACACCTTCTCTCTCGGCCATGCCCCGCCAAAAGAATTGCTACTCTTCAACTTAACCGTGTCGGCTACCTCTTCTTTCTGGCCATCAGCCACCAGGAATGTCCTCGGCTGCAAATTCAATTTCGGTTGGCCGCATAGTAGATCATCACACATCAGGAAGTATAACCTATTCACATGGAAAAGAGAACAAAGACTACCATCATGTGATTCTTGACTAATCTTTGAGCCTATGCAGCATCAAATTATTCTTAATATAATTCTTCATGCATGATACCAACTGCGAAATGATTGCATTTTCATAAAAAAGAAAAAATACAAATAGCAAAAATTACTCATAGAAATCAATGCAACATATGGGAGTACTCTAACAAAAAATCTGATGCAATCATTACTATCTTATAATTATTAGATTTCCTATTTGTTTCATTCATCATGTAGCTTAAGATTTTTAAAATCAATCTCTCAATCACAAGCAAGCCAATTAGTCCATAATCTCTCGATATACATGAGCAGGACGACACTGACCTGATGAAATCCCATTTCCTTGGTGAGAGGCACCCCAAGCTTGCCCATGCAAGCCTGGATCCAATCATCACTTCCGTAGAGAGACGGGCACCTTCACCTTCAACACCTCCTCCCTCGGCCTTGCTACTCATCGGCTTAACCACGTCGGCCACCTCTTCTTGTTGGCCCTTACCCACCGGCAATGTCCTCGACTGTAAATTCAACTTCGCCCGGCCACTGCCAACACTCTGACTCATCTCTTTTCTTCCCCCAACTATCGGAATCCGTATCGGAAACACCTCTCTTCTCATCTCTTTTCCTCCCCCAACTATAGAAATCCGTATCGGAAACACCTCTCTTCTTCCTCAGGCTATTGAAAGAGCCCCCGGGCCTTGGCCTTTCCTCTTTATTCCTTTTTAACCAGTTCTCTAATTCAGAGCAACTGTTACCCGATTCTAAGCCACATTCTACTCTTTTCTCAAGCCTCCTAGGCTCCGAGAGCATAGAGCTCTTCTTGGACGCCCAATTGTTGAAAAATTCTGTCCGTAATTGAGAATTCGTGAAGAAGCCCCTTTGTTCTCCCCTCTTTCTCTGCTCGCCGAATCCAGCCCAATTGTCGGTCTCGTTAGCCCTAGATGGAGCAAATTCCCGATCTCCCTCACGATTGATGCCTCCCTGGCGGCGAGGCTGCTCGTCCTTGATCCCCACGCCGTAGGATCTGAATCCATCGCCGAGCTTGTTCCAATCGAGCTCCTCGGTCCTCAGACAAATGAATACGCGTGAGCTGCAGGCTTATTGGACTTGTATAGATTTTGCTTTGCAAAACAAAGCAGAACATATTTGACCAAAATAGACCAAAATTATATACTGTAATTAAACTTATTAATTTAATACTTTCCTTTGTTATGGTAGAAAAAAAAGTACCAAAATCTCGGACAAATGGTTATGGTAGCTAAAAACGGGTGCTTTATTTATATAAAATAAAAAAAAAATATGTGGCAAAAAATAAAATAAAAAAAAATGTTGTGGAAATTTATCAAACACCCGGATTTTCAAAATCCGTTTTTCAAATAAAATATTTTATTAAAAAACGGATTTTCCCGTGTTTAATTTTTTATAAAAAATAAAAAATAAAAATTAAAAAAAAATAAAACCGAATTTTCACAATCCGTGTTTAGTTTTAATTTAATTTTTTTTTTTTTGAAAAAGTCGAATTTAAAAAAATATATATATATTTGAAACAGATAACACGAATTTCAAAATTCTGTTTTTAATAAAAAAACATTAAAAACAGATAAAACGGAATTAGTACAATTAAAGTCAAATTAGCACAATATCGGTCAATTATTGGGTAATCGAACTCGAATTAGTCCAATTGAAATAAAATTAGTACAATCTCGATCAATTATAGTGTGATTGAACTCAAATTAGTACAACCTCGGTCAATTATAGTGTGATCGAACTCGAATTAGTCCAACTGAATTCAAATTAGTACAATCTCGGTAAATTATACTGTAATTGAACTCGAATTAGTCCAATTGAAGTCAAATTAGTACTATAATTAACTGAGACTGTACTAATTTGACTTCAATTGGATTAATTCGAGTTCGATCATACTATAATAGATCGAGAATGTACTAATTTGACTTCAATTGAACTAATTCGAGTTCGATCACACTATAATTGATCGAGATTGTACTGATTTGACTTCAATTGGACTAATTCGAGTTCGATTACACTATAATTGACCGAGATTATACTAATTCGACTTCAATTGGACTAATTCGATTTCGATTACACTATAATAGACCGAGATTGTACTAATTCGACTTCATTTGGACTAATTCAAGGTCGATTACACTATAATTGACCGAGATTGTACTAATTTGACTTCAATTTGACTAATTTGAGTTCGATCACACTATAATTGATCCAGATTGTACTAATTTGACTTCAATTGGACTAATTCGATTTCGATTACACTATAATAGACCGAGATTGTACTAATTTGACTTCATTTGGACTAATTCGAGGTCGATTAGACTATAATTGACCGAGATTGTACTAATCTGACTTCAATTAGACTAATTCGAGGTCGATTACACTATAATTGTCCGAGATTGTACTAATTCGACTTCAATTGGACTAATTCGAGGTCGATTACACTATAATTGATCGAGATTGTACTAATTTGACTTCAATTGGACTAATTCAAGTTCGATTATACTATAATTGACCGAGATTGTACTAATTTGACTTCATTTGGACTAATTCGAGGTCGATTACACTATAATTGTCCGAGATTGTACTAATTCGACTTCAATTGGACTAATTCGAGGTCGATTACACTATAATTGATCGAGATTGTACTAATATGACTTCAATTGGACTAATTCAAGTTCGATTACACTATAATTGACCGAGATTGTACTAATTTGACTTCACTTGGACGAATTTGAGGTCGATTACACTCTAATTGCCCGAGATTGTACTAATTCGACTTCAATTTCACTAATTTGAGTTCGATCACACTATAATTGATCCAGATTGTACTAATTTGACTTCAATTGGACTAATTCGATTTCGATTACACTATAATAGACCGAGATTGTACTAATTTGACTTCATTTGGACTAATTCGAGGTCGATTAGACTATAATTGACCGAGATTGTACTAATTTGACTTCAATTAGACTAATTCGAGGTCGATTACACTATAATTGTCCGAGATTGTACTAATTCGACTTCAATTGGACTAATTCGAGGTCGATTACACTATAATTGATCGAGATTGTACTAATTTGACTTCAATTGGACTAATTCGAGTTCGATTACACTATAATTGACCCAGATTGTACTAATTCGACTTCAATTGGACTAATTCGAGGTCGATTACACTATAATTGATCGAGATTGTACTAACATGACTTCAATTGGACTAATTCAAGTTCGATTACACTATAATTGACCGAGATTGTACTAATTTGACTTCATTTGGACTAATTCGAGGTCGATTACACTATAATTGACCGAGATTGTACTAATTTGACTTCAATTGAACTAATTCGAGGTCGATTACACTCTAATTGTCCGAGATTGTGCTAATTCGACTTCAATTTGACTAATTTGAGTTCGATCACACTATAATTGATCCAGATTGTACTAATTTGACTTCAATTGGACTAATTCGATTTCGATTACACTATAATAGACTGAGATTGTACTAATTTCACTTCATTTGGACAAATTCGAGGTCGATTAGACTATAATTGACCGAGATTGTACTAATTTGACTTCAATTAGACTAATTCGAGGTCGATTACACTATAATTGTCCGAGATTGTACTAATTCGACTTCAATTGGACGAATTCGAGGTCGATTACACTATAATTGATCGAGATTGTACTAATTTGACTTCAATTGGACTAATTCAAGTTCGATTACACTATAATTGACCGAGATTGTACTAATTCGACTTCAATTGGACTAATTTGACTTTAATTGGACTCATTCGAGTTCGATTACACTATAATTGACCGAGATTGTACTAATTAGATTTCAATTGGACTAATTCGAGGTCGATTACACTATAATTAACTGAGATTGTACTAATTCGACTTCAATTTGACTAATTTGAGTTCGATCACACTATAATTGATCCAGATTGTACTAATTTGACTTCAATTGGACTAATTCAAGTTCGATTACACTATAATTGACCGAGATTATACTAATTTGACTTCATTTGGACTAATTCGAGGTCGATTACACTATAATTGACCGAGATTGTACTAATTGGTCGATTACACTCTAATTGTCCGAGATTGTACTAATTCGACTTAAATTTGACTAATTTGAGTTCGATCACACTATAATTGATCCAGACTGTACTAATTTGACTTCAATTGGACTAAGTCGATTTCGATTACACTGTAATAGACCGAAATTGTACTGATTTGACTTCAATATGAACTAATTCGAGGTCGATTACACTCTAATTGTCCGAGATTGTACTAATTCGACTTCAATTGGACTAATTCGTGGTCGATTACACTATAATTGACCGAGATTGTACTAATTCGACTTCAATTTGACTAATTTGAGTTCGATCACACTATAATTGATCCAGATTGTACTAATTTGACTTCAATTGGACTAATTCGATTTCGATGACACTGTAATAGACCGAGATTGTACTAATTTGACTTCATTTGGACTAATTCGAGGTCGATTACACTATAATTGACCGAGATTGTACTAATTTGACTTCAATTGAACTAATTCGAGGTCGATTACACTCTAATTGTCCGAGATTGTACTAATTCGACTTCAATTGGACTAATTCGTGGTCGATTATATATAATTGACCGAGATTGTACTAATTCGACTTCAATTGGACTAATTCGAGTTCGATTACACTATAATTGACCCAAATTGTACTAATTTGACTTCAATTTGACTAATTCGAGTTCGATCACACTATAATTGATCGAGATTGTACAAATTTGACTTCAATTGGACTAATTCAAGTTCGATTACACTATAATTGACCGAGATTGTACTAATTCGACTTTAATTGGACTAATTTGACTTCAGTTGGACTCATTCGAGTTCGATTACACTATAATTTACCGAAATTGTACTAATTCGACTTCAATTTGACTAATTTGAGTTCGATCACACTATAACTGATCTAGATTATACTAATTTGACTTCAATTGGACTAATTCGTTTGTTCTTTCTTTCTTTCTTTTTTGTAGCCCCCCTCAGAGGACCTTATTTGACGATATATACAAATGCTAACCCCCAACTTATTGTATGGCTGGCTGCCTTTAAATTTATGTTTTTGCAATGAGAATTGCAGGTCCTTAACGGCAAACTCGAAGGAGATGACATCATTTGCTGCTGATGGTGCCAAAAGTGGTTTGCCTTCACTCATATCCCACAAGAATGACGCATTTACTGTGACACCTTGGTGGAAAGTTGGTCTTATCTCTCGTCTGTTCAATCAGAGCAGCAACCAGTAGTGCATTTTAGTGGTGGAATGAACTGCGAAGAAAAGAATTTTAGAAATTATGTAGCTGAGTTTCTTTCGTTTCAACTTCATTGTGTTCTGTTCTCATTTCTTGTTTTCGTGTCATGCTTCTAAGACATTATTGTTATTTGATTGCATGAGGTAATCCTTGATTTGGTTTTCAACAATAAAGATTTGACTAGCCATTTTGAAACTGTCTCCTCGTGATTTGACATCAATTGGACTAATTCGATTTCGATTACACTGTAATAGACCGAGATTGTACTAATTTGACTTCATTTAGACTAATTCGAGGTCGAATCACTATAATTGACCGAGAATTGTACTAATTTGACTTCAGTTGGACTCATTCGAGTTCGATTACACTATAATTGACCGAGATTGTACTAATTGGACATCAATTGGACTAATTCGAGGTCGATTACACTATAATTGACCGAGATTGTACTAATTTGACTAATTTGAGTTCGATCACACTATAATCGATCAAGATTGTACTAATTTTACTTCAATTGGACTAATTCGATTTCGATTACACTGTAATAGACCGAGATTGTACTAATTTGACTTCAATTGGACTTATTCGAACTCGATCACACTATAATTGATCCAGATTATACTTAATTTGACTTCAATTGGACTAATTTGAGTTCGATTACACTATAATTGACCGAGATTGTTGTTCGATTACACTATAGTTTGACCGAGAATTAGTTCAATTGAAGTCGAATTACACTATAATTGACCGAGATTGTACTAATTTGACTTCAATTAGACTAATTCGAGTTCGATTACACTATAATTGACCGAAATTGTACTAATTTGACTTCAATTGGACTAATTCAAATTCGATTACACTATAATTAGTCCAATTGATGTCAAATTAGTACAATCTCGGTCAATTATAGCGTAATCGACCTTGAATTTGTCTAATTGAAGTCGAATTAGTACGATCTCGGTCAATTATAGTGTAATCGCTCGTTATCTTTTAAAGAACAAAAAATTAAAATAAAACTTAAAAACGGATTTTGAAAATCCGTTTTTTAAAAAATAATTAAAAAATAAAAACGGATTTTCAAAATCCGTTTTTAGTTTTTTTTTATTAAAAAAAATTAAATAAATAAAAAATGAATAAAAAATAAATAAAAAATAAAAACGAATTTTCAAAATTCGTTTTTTTAACAAAAAATAAAATAAAATAAAAATAAAAAATAATAAATAAATAAAAACGGATTCTGAGAATCCGTTTTTACTTGAAACACGGATTCCCAGAATCCGTCCGTTTTACTTTTTTCCACAATTTTTTTTAATTTTTTTATTTTTTGCCACGTATTTTTATTTTTTTTAAATAAATAAATGATTCCACACCAGTGTTTTTAAAAGCGCAGCTTAGCGCGCTACGTCGCGCGAAATAGCGCAAATCTCCTGAAAAACGCGCGCTTGTAATTTAGCGCAGTTCCAACATAGCGTACGCCTTTGATGACGTGGCACGCATTTTTTGGATAACGTGCGCGATTTTTGCTATGGCTTAAATTCTGCACGCTATTTGAAGGCAGAAAATTAAAAAAATAAAAAAGAAAGAAAAACAAAATTGAAGGGGACGAAAATCACAATCAGAAACTCAGATTGCAGAATTCACGGGGATCTTTATTTAAGAGGGACGGTCAAAAGGCTAATTTATTTAAATGACCCTTTGGATAATTTTTTTGTTTAAGTAANAGAACAGAAGCTGCGTCTCTGTCTCTCTGGCTCTCTTTCGCTATGCTCTGATTATGTGTGCTTTTCTCTTCAAAAGGTGAGAACAAAATCTAATCATTACACATAAATTTTGGATTTCATACTGCAAAAGAAATGTGGTTATGGTGGAATAAGATCAAAACAAAGCATTATCTCCTTTATTTTAGAGAAAGGTGAAAGAAATAATTGTTGTTAGGGTTTCTTGTTATTTTACTTTGATAAGCATTTTGGTTCATATTTTATGATTGATAAGCATGTTGGTTTCATATTTATCATGTTTCTTGTGTTATTCATGTTTTTTTTTTCTTTCATTTTTTAGATGTTTATATAACGAATGTACAGTCGTTATGCAGTTTCATAACGAATGTACATTCGTTATCTGAAAATTATCTCATCACGAATGTAAATTCATTATCTGATGATTATGTCATAACGAATGAAGTTTCTTTATGACATATCTCAATGTTTTTAGTTATAATATATTCTAATGTAGTTTCTTTATGACTTAACGAATGTAGTTTTGTTATGACATATCTCAATGTAGTTTCGTTATGACATAACATATATTTTTTTTTGTAGGTATTGATTTTAACAAAGATGACATGGATACAAGTATGCCACTATGTTGAGTTTAAAAAGAGTAATGATGGCACTTGGACGTGAAGATATGTGAATGAGAAACAAAACGACTCGCGGCAGGTAGCTTCTAGGACGTCGCGGGCGCGACACTCGCGAAGGCCGCGGGCGCGACGCAGAACACGGAGCTACAGAAGCTCGTGACGGCCTATTGCGGCCGCGACACAAAGGCTGTCGCGGGCCTTTATTTTTATTTATTTATATTTTTGTGTACAAGGTTCCTCAGAATGACTGGAGATCGGCATCGGACTCCTCGGTTATAGTATTGCAATACTTATAACGGAACTCATTTTATGAGATAACAAATGTACATTCGTTATGATGTATGAAATAACAAATCGTTTGAGGTGGATTTGGTTGAAAAACAACCATAACGAATGTACATTCATTATGGTGTTTTTCTTAACAAACGCGCTTTCTTTATGGTTTTTTTGATCGAATTACTTGATAGCGATTGCATATTCATGTTACATGTCATTGGAACTATAGTTTGAAGTTGTTAGAGCGTCGAAACACTCATCACGAAACTCTTTTTTTGAAATAACCACACTTGTTTTGTTTTTTATTTTCATTTTTTTTGAACAATGAATACATGATGTAAAATATTTGTTTATCCGTTATTTTAACTTAAAAATGGCTAATATTAGACCTATAACGAGTTTATTATCTCTATAATGGCTTATATGACGAATGCACGATCGTTTAAGGTGGATTTGGTCAAAAAATAACCATAACGAATGTACTTTCGTTATGGTTGTTTTTCTTAACAAACGCGCTTTCTTTATGGTTTTTTTTGATCGAATTACTTGATAACGATTGTATATTCATGTTACATGTCATTGGAACTATAGTTTGAAGTTGTTAGAGCGTCGAAACACTCACAACGAAACTTTTTTTTTGAAATAACAACACTTGTTATTTGTTTTTGTTTTTAAAAAATGAAAGATGATGTAGAATCTTTGTAAATTCGTTATTTTACATGAAAAAAGAATAAAATGAGACCCATAACGAGTTTAACATCTTTATAACGTGTTATATGATGTATGCACGGTCGCAGGGCCGTCTCCAGAAATTTGGAGGCCCTAGACAACTTTATAGTAATTTTCCGGAAGAAAACGCAATTTTTTTCAGATTTTTATATCGAATTACTTGATAAGGCATTCATATTCATGATTCGTGTCATTTGAACGATATTTAAAATTGTTGGAGAGTCCAAACAATCACAATGTAACTCTTTTTTCAAAATAAACAACACTTAATATTTTTTTTTTAAAAAAAATTGTAATATAATTTTAAATCTTTTTAGATTCTTTATTTTACATAAAAATGCCTAAAATTACACCGATAACGAGCTTAATATCTTTATAGTGTGTTATTTTGACGATTGAGGTCTCGTTTAAGGTGGAATTGTTCGGAAAACTACTATAACGATTGTATAATCGTTTTTTCAATAAAAAACGATTGTACAATCGTTATAGTAAATTTCCGGAAGAAAACGTGATTTTTTTCAGATTTTTATATCGAATTATACAATTTATTATATTATATATTATATTGTATGTTATATTATACTATATATCAGATTTTTGTATACTATATATATTATATTATATATTATATCCTATACTATATATTATATTGTATACTATATATTATATTATATATTATATCCTATATTATATATTATATATTATAACATATGTTATATTATATCATATGTTATATTATATACTATGTATTATATTATATATTATATCCTATACTATATATTATATTGTATGTTATATTATAACTATATATGTTATATTATCATATACTATATATTATATTGTATACTATATATTATATTATATATTATATCCTATATTATATATTATATATTATAACATATGTTATATTATATCATATGTTATATTATATACTATGTATTATATTATATATTATATCCTATAGTAGATATTATATTGTATGTTATATTATAACTATATATGTTATATTATCATATACTATATATTATATTGTATACTACATATTATATTATATATTATAATATACTATATTATATATTATTTTGTATATTATATATTATAACATATGTTATATTATATCATATGTTATATTATATACTATGTATTATATTATATATTATATCCTATACTATATATTGTATTATATGTTATAACATAATATAACATATGTTATAACATATATGTTATAACGATTGTATATTCATGTTACATGTCATCGTAACGATAGTTTGAAGTTTTTAGAGTGTCGAAACACTCACAACGAAACTCTTTTTTGAAGTAACAATACTTGGTTTTTTTTTGTTTTTGAAAAATGGAAAGATCATGTAATATCTTTGTAAATTCATTATTTTAACTTAAAAATGACCAAAATTAGACCTATAATGAGTTTAATATCTTTATAATGTATTATATGACGAATGCAAGGTCGTTTCAGGTAGATTTGGTCGAAAAACAACCATAACGAATGTGCATTCGTTATTAACGAATGCACATTCGTTATGGTTGTTTTTCGACACAAACGCGCTTTCTTCATTCGTTATGACGAATGTGCTAATTGATGCTCTTCTACAGTTTCACTTATGGTGCTAAAATATTATTATTTCTCTTGGATGCTCCATTGTGAAGTGAAGAACCAAATTGCACTCTATAACGAATGTAGATTCGTTATTTTATACAAAATAACGATTGTACAATCGTTATAATGAAAAGACTATATGTCGCGGTAGCGACACAGGGTCGGACAGAGAAGGTTGTCAGGACGTCGCGGCCGCGACGGACGTCGCCCCCCCAACAGGAATTTTTTTTTTTTAAATAACGATTGTACAATCGTTATAATGAAAAGACTACATGTCGCGGTCGTGACATGCGTCGCGGGAGAGACTCTGGGCCGGACAGAGAAGGTTGCCAGGACGTCGCGGCCGCGATGGACGTCGCGTTATTTAACCAAATAACAACTGTACATTCGTTATTTTTTAAATGACTTGTAATCGGTTCCTCGACTTATTTTCGGGAGCTCGGCATCGAATCCCTTCGTTATTTATTAAATTAAAACTTCTCATTACAGTAATAACTTTAACCATTTTGATAAAATACTATTATAACCACTGCATTGGGAAGTACGTAAAAAATACAACTTAAAAAATCGACCACTCGCATCATTGCATTGAAAAACACATGAAAAACAATAAAAAATGTATTATCCAAAAAATCCTTACAACCCGTTACATATTAAATGTTTAAAACAAACTATGGATACATGAGAAGGCTCGGCTCCTTCGAGCTCCGGAACAGGAGCCAGCCGTGATAGTCCAAAATCGGCAACTTTAGCGATAAAATTAGAGTCAAGCAATATGTTGGTAGCCTTGATATCTCGATGAAATATTGGGGGATTGGCTTCAGTATGAAGGTAGAGTATTCCTCTAGCCGAACCCAATGCGATTTTGACCCTCATAGAGAAATTCAACGGCATTCTAGACTTTCCTAAAATAACACGAAACGTAAAAATACTGTCATTTAAAATTTAAAATACAAGGGTAAGAGTATTTCATTTTTCCAATCTTCATATAACACACCAACACAAAAAAATATTACCTGACAGGTGATCTCTCAAGGTACCATTTGACATGAAGTGATACACCAACATCTTGCATAATAATGAAGGATAAAGTAAGTGTAAATTTAATCAAAATACTATCGAATTCAAACTTACGGCAAAAATAAAACCCAAAAAAATCACATGGTAGTTAAAAAATATTACTTTTGATACTATTTTCTGATAAAAGTAAATTTTTTTGGCAATTTTAACTGATTAAGAGTACCTGTTCACCTTCGTCATCACAATAACCAACTAACGAGACAAGGTTCCTATGATGCAACCTCGATAATAATTCTATTTCTGTAAGAAACTCTTTGTCACCCTGCAATGAACCCTCTTGAGCACGTTTTATGGCCACAACTGTTCCATCAGAAAGAATGCCTTTATGGACTTTGCCATAGCCTCCTTGACCGACAACAGTTGAGGAGTTGAAGTTGTTTGTTGCCAGTGCCATTTCACTGTAACTGAAATTCTTCATGCCCTCAATTCTGATGGAGATCCTTTTTGCTGAAACATAATTTACAGATAAGATAATACAACAATTTTGAAAAGTAAATTTAGTTCATATTGTAGCTGGCCAGGCACAATCAGAACTTTTGTGTGTGTGTGTGTGTGTTATTTGCTAAGTTTTAGATACCAATAAATATAATTCAGTTTAACAATTCATTATCAAAATGCGAAAATCATCAAAATTGAAGAACTTGGAGGTATATATATTCATTTATTTTCAGTTTCCGAACTAGCAAAAGTTTATACATCTGAAATCGGTTAATCAAGGAAAATAACTTGCTTAAAAAAAAAGAAAAAGAAAAAAGAAAACACTAATAGTTGTCTCCTGTATGCGGTGGAGAAAACAGCATAATCATATTACATCTACTAATTTGAATTTGAAAAAGAATACAAGTTTCCAGAACTAAGTACCATGCCAAATTTCCCCCATAAATACTGATGCATATTGGAATACGCATATCAAACTTAGCAAATAAGGCCATAAATATCATAAAAGAATAAGGTTAAACTACCAATAACATAAGCAAACGCAAAAAAATTGTGCACCACTTACAAGGACGTCGTTTTGAAGATGGGTGGTGTTTTTTGAGGTGTCGTCTCAAGATAAGAAGTGAAACAATTGCAGAAAGAGTAACAGATCCAGCTATTGTCCCAACTATCACGCCTGCAAGTGCTCGTTTGCTTAAACCAGATGATGAACGAGGAGGATACACTGCAACATGACTTACAAGTTATTTAAACGAAACGAGCATTTTAAACGAGTTTCTTAAAATAAATTCTTTCTTCCAAAGTGAAAAAAGTGGTCTATTACGTTAAGGTGAATATCGAAGTCTGATAGAAGAAAGAAGAATACAAAACAAGGACCCAAATTTTCCTCACAATCCACAAATAAAATCTCGTGAGTCGAACAAAATCGATAAAAGAGCACGAATCCCTTACTGTGAGAAGATAATAACACTAAAATGCAACAGTAGAAAATTAGATACTCATAAGGTGTTATATGCAATTAGGATAAATCTCAAGGATAAAACCTTTTGACTTGTGTATCAATCAATCAATATATATATATATACGTACTTTCGCTATAAGGACCCACGAGCGTGAAATTTAGATACTCGTAAGGTCCAAACAATCCACTTTCAGGGATCTTCCACCCACCAAACGTCTCTCCAATCCTCATGACCTCACTTCTATTGAACGTTCGAGTGCCATCATTGATGTAAGGCGGGAAAATCTTGAGGTACATTCTAAGCCGAGGACCCCTTTGCCAAGCCAACGAATCGATTACCAGCTGAGAGGCATTCATTTGGAGACCAGAACTCGGGTAGTGCTTGAACGAGTCCACGTAAGGAAGAAAATCCAAGAATCCGGGGCTCTTTAACCGATACCCAACAAAAAGGGGGACAGAACAAAAGAAACTTTATCTAATAGGTTAAGTCCACCAAAACTAAAACTTAGCCTAAAAAATAAACATATACAACAAGATTGCACACATAACATGGCTCAACATGTAAAGTCTCTACATGGCACGAAATATACCACCCAAGCCTTCTCTTTCATTTGCAAAAATATAGTGTTTTCCACAATTCCTATAACAAATGTACATTCGTTATATATTACATTGCCAATATAGAAGTCTCGTTTTTTTCAGTTGATCAACTCAATCCTACAATCATTTAATCAAACACATAGAGTTCACCTTATAAACATTTTATCAAACACATAAAGTGCAACCAATTACTATCTTCATTTCATTAACTCAATCCTACAAGCATATTTAATCAAACACATAGACTGCCCCAATTATCATCTTCAATTCCATCAAAAGTAGCAAAATTACATGAATTCACATAACACAATCAAAGGAAAGAAGAAAGAAGAAAACTCAAAGGAAAGAAGAAAGAAGAAAAAATTTCACATACCCAAGTTGACAAGAGAGAGTTCCATAGTGATCGTGCGCGAAAGAGGGCGAAGGGCGAGAGCGAGAAGGAGATTTCCGAGAGCCTAGGTCGAGCTGCGAGCAGGCGCTGTGAAGAAGAGAAAGAGCTACGAGCGATCGAGAGGGAAGAAAAAAAAAAATGAAGTAAGAATAGAAGAAGAAAAGGGGAAGAATAGGAACGTCCACAACATAATATAGAAGAGGGTATGTAGGTAAATTCCTATTTAATATGATTAGTTATTAAATTTTATTGTCAAATTTGGGTCAAAGGTTATTTAAACAAAATGTGATGTAGAAGGGGTTAGTTGAACCAATTCCCACGAATTCACGAAACCCTCATTTCACTTCTCTTCATCATCTCCCTCTCGGCCTCTCCACCGCAGCCTCCAAGGATCCACCACAGCCCAGCTCCCTTCATCATTTCACTTCTCACATCCTCTGTTTCCTCGACTCTCGTCTCTCGCTCTCGCCTTTCGCCCAGCTCTCGGCACCCCCAAAGTCCCTTCTCCTCGGCTCTTTGTACCCTACATCCCTTGCACGGTTGCACCTCGACTTTCAACTCCAAAGGTATCATTTTGTTTTTCATTTGAGATTATTAATAGCTTCAGTGAATGATTTCGTTTTCTCGCTCTTGCCTTTCATTTTTTTTTTTTTGAAGCTGCTTCACAGAACATGAATTGAAATTGGCCCTCTTCTAGTGAATGATTTCGATTTATTTTTTAAATTAGAGTGAGATAAAAGGATTGATGGAGATTGATGTTTGATTGCATTTTTTTTATGTGTGTTTTTCGATTTTTTTTTTTTAAATTAGAGTGAGGTATAAAGATTGATGGAGATTGATGTTTGATTGCATTTTTTTTTATGTGTATTTGCCTATTTGCTGATTGGATCTGGCTATTTTTTTTAATGATTCAGAGTATATAGAAGACTAGAAGTATAGAACAGATCTATTTAATTTGATGATTCTATTGTAGTTGAATTGTGTCCTGATTCTTGAATATCTGAGTATGGAACATATAAGACATAAATGAATTGTGTCCTGAATTATTTCCATTTGGTAATGGAACATCAGTGAGGTATTTAAAGAAGTATGCAGTTGTTTTTTATTAGAATGATTGATTAAATGTTTCTGAACTTAAATTATTAGTTTGTTTATTATTAAGGTTAAGAAGATGGATCCAAACATAACTGAATAGATGAAGAGATTACTGTTTTGTTGTGATTACTGTTCTTATTACAGTCAAATAATGAATTGGATGAGGCCAATTATTTTTAGATTTTGAGTCTTTACTTTGAAGATTATGACTTTGGGTTGTTGTATGAACTAATATTTGAATGTTGTTTTTTAGATTTAATGTCTAATTTTATGGTTTAAGACTATTTTAATTATTTATTTACTTGTATGGTTATATATGTTATTATTTTTGGCATTTAAAGTGAACTGCTTGAATAGCTTAGGCAATGCGCTACGCTATTTACGCTACATCAGGACCAAAACGCAACGCGATGCGCTATGCGCGTTTTAAAACACTGTTCCACACACATAGGGGGTGCTTTATTTATATAAAATAAAAAAAAAATCTGTGGCAAAAAATAAAACAAAAAAAAATGTTGTGGAAATTTATCAAACACCCGGATTTTCAAAATCCGTTTTTCAAAAAAAATATTTTATTAAAAAATGGATTTTCGTAATCCTTGTTTAATTTTTTATAAAAAAAAAAATTAAAAAAATTAAAAAAAAAATTAAAAAAAATTAAAACCGAATTTCCACAATCCGTGTTTAGTTTTAATTTTAATTTTTTTTTTTGAAAAAGTCGAATTTAAAAATGTGTCCTCTCTCTATCTCTCAATGGGGAATTCGGAGCTATATGAAATTTTAGTTGCTTGGAAATGAAGTAAATACAGTTGTTTTGATTTCCTGATTAAAAGGGGTAGTTATAAATGTATATTTCAGAGTTTCAGATGGGAAAAACTATGCAAGGTAAGAAGAGCAAAAGGGCAACTCAAAGTTGAAGCTGAGTTGCCCCTGTTCATCCATCTGAATTTTCTGTGGTGGTTTTACCTTCTCAGTTGTTTTTGTTTAAGCCACCAGTAATCTTGAGTTGTGGTTTTAATTTTAAGTGTTCACATTTGCATCTTTTTCTCAAATCAAGAATCAGGTTCTCCTGCTTCTGTATTCTTAAGTTAATAATCGGATTTTAATTTGAAGTGCTAGCATTTGCTTCTTTTTCTTAAATCAAGAATCGGGTTCTCCTACCTTTGTTTTCCAAACGGTGGAGTAATCTTTTCGTAAGCAGCTCCATCAAAAAGTTGCTGTATCTTAAATATATTTCCTTTTGGCTTGTGGTAGGATGAAGGTCCGTTCGTCTGTGAAAAAGATGTGTGAGTTTTGCCGAACAGTGAAGAGACGTGGACGTGTTTATGTTCTGTGTACTGCTAATCCCAAGCACAAGCAGCGGCAGGGCATCTCCACATTTGCGTACCAAGGCCTGATACCACCAGCGTACGTTTTCTCGAGGTTTCATCCTTCAGTTATTCATAGTTTTGAGTCAAGTAGATTGTTAAATATATGCATTTGCTTTGAGATAAGTGGTGGGTGGGACCCGTTTTCTGAGCATTAGAGAGAGGTGTATGATATTAATTGTTGATGTGTTAGCCTGCTCTTAAAAATCTTATGAAGTCCACAGTTTGATGGCAACTGATGCTGATTAGGATTCTTCTAAAAAAAAGATCAGAAAGAAAAAGGAGAAGGAAGTTTATGTTGTGTAGACATCAAAAGAGTTCCTTTGTTCTTTCTTTCTTTCTTTTTTGTAGCCCCCCTCAAAGGACCTTATTTGACAATATATACAAATGCTAACCCCCAACTTATTGTATGGCTGGCTGCCTTTAAATTTATGTTTTTGCAATGTGAATTGCAGGTCTTTAACGGCAAACTCGAAGGAGATTACATCATTTGCTGCTGATGGTGCCAAAAGTGGTTTGCCTTCACTCATATCCCACAAGAATGACGCATTTACTGTGACACCTTGGTGGAAAGTTGGTCTTGTCTCTCGTCTGTTCAATCAGAGCAGCAACCAGTAGTGCATTTTAGTGGTGGAATGAACTGCGAAGAAAAGAATTTTAGAAATTATGTAGCTGAGTTTCTTTCGTTTCAACTTCATTGTGTTCTGTTCTCATTTCTTGTTTTCGTGTCATGCTTCTAAGACATTATTGTTATTTGATTGCGTGAGGTAATCCTTGATTTGGTTTTCAACAATAAAGATTTGACTAGCCATTTTGAAACTGTCTCCTGGTGATTGAATAGAAGGCTTTTGGGTTACATTATCTTATTTTGGTTTGCTGAGATGAATACTAAGCTGGATTAACCTAAATGATATCTTATATCGCTAGATGAATTGTTTCATGTTCGGGGGATTTCCTGTTGAAACGACAGAAACTATTTTAGTTTCAATCAAAATCAAATGCTATCTATTTTAGTTTCAATAACACGGAATATTTCACCACTTTATTTATTATGAACTCCACATGTGATACATGCCTTACCTGAGAAAGGATACATAAAATCAACATCTTTTATTGTTTTCATGTGAGAAGTTTGGGCTATGTTAGCTCAGCATCTTTTATTGTTTTCATAATGAGAAGTTTGAGGCTATGTAAGTTTGGTCCGAATGGTATGTATTAATCTTATAGAGACGAGGATGGGATTTTGGTCCACATTTAGTGCTAAGTATAATGAGAAGCTGGCAATTCCAGTTGTATTCAAGTTCATTGGTTGAATTGCTTTCCTATAGTTTGCCACTAATATTTAGCTTATCAACATGTGAAGTTCTAAAAGCATAGTTTTTGCAGTGGTTTAACAACATATGAATCCAGCAAACCTCATTATGGGCATGTCCCCAATAAGTGCNTAAACACAAGAGAACCACAAATTTGACAAGACATGAGAATAAATAAATCAAATAAATTGCAAAAAGACACACATCACAATCATTCACTTGACTGAGGGATAACATCATACAAGAAAAACTCCAGCACGGTCTATAACAGCTCAACCTGAAGAGCATATTGGTTTGGACAGAAAGCTAATACAATGTTACTTTATTCCCTGCATGCTGCTTATGCTTCGGCAGCTGACTTCACTTCATGCAGCAAAACCAGTTCTTCTGCAAATCATAAAACTCCCCACAGTAAGTGTGAGATTTGTATTTTTCCATGAGTGTTGCAGATACAAGAAAAAAAATGTGCTCCGTGTTTTCTGTTAGTTTTCATCAGAACTTTCTTTTACCTTTTTGTTAGTCAACCTTCAGAATGGCAAATTATTCATGCAAATTCAATAATCAACATTGTCAACCAAGTTTATCAACTTTTGGTTGAGCTAATCATAATTCATAACTAAAGCAACTTCAACATGAATGATATGATGAAGTGGAAGCTTCAAACAACTTTACAGAATCAAAGTAATCTACATAAGGGATTACATATAAATATCAGGCAAACGGCAAAATAACTTACAGAGTGAGGCTTTCCTCCTAGAGTTGAAGGGGCCTTATAAGTGGATTCATCCTTTAGTGGAGACGAGTCAGGCTTGACACCAGTCTTTTGAAAATCCGTTTTTAAGTTTTTTTTTTTTTTTTTTTTTTTTTT